TCCATTCCCAAGATCTGTCCTTAAGTCAAATTTGTATGTAAGCCAGAACAGTATTATTATATAGTACTATATAAGTAGTATTGTGTAATGAACTTGAACTGTTGTGTATTTAACTTGAATCATTGTGTATTTAACTTGAATTTTGCCACAGTAGGCTCCGTTCTTAACTATGGGTTGTCCGTAAACCGTTCTTAACCCAGGGACTCCGTGTACATGTATGTAGACATGTGCTGTATATTTGTTGGATTATAACCTGCTTTTTCACTAAATTACTTTTCAGCCACCCACACAGAATATGCCAATGGGTCCTGGAGGAATGAATCAGAGCGGCCCTCCCCCACCTCCACGTTCTCACAATATGAGTTCAGATGGTATGGTAGGTGGGGGCCCTCCTGCACCACACATGCAGAACCAGATGAACGGCCAGATGCCTGGTAGGTTTCTCTTCTAGAGATATTAACACCGGGGTTGCTCGGCAACTGAAACAACATGTGTGCTCAAGGGATAGAAGATTCTTGATGACAAAACTACTTTGAATGCCCTTGAGTACAAGTTCTCTTAGAGTTTGTTAGTTACAGAGCTACGTGACCTGTATTCTATGTTTATCAGACTGCCCCTGGGCTTCCTTTGAACAGAACCAGCTAAATTTAGTGTGCCTGAAACCATACAGTATAAATGCATTAGAAGGCCTGCCAAAGAAAGATACTGACTTATGGATGAATGCATTCTCATTGGAATAAATTATTTAAAATAATCACTGTTAAATTAGTTTGATAAAGAGGAAATGAACTTAGTAAAATTTTGATTATCTTTCTAAGTCATTTTTCTGCTAATCTTCTGCATGACAAAACAGATGGAAATGACAAGCTATTCTTTTGGGAGTTCATGTGAAAAATACCTCAAAACTATTGTTTCAGATCTGAAAACAGCTTTTTTGTTTTAACAGAATGAAGGGGTATAAAATATCAGTGTTTTTTCATAGTGTTCTGTATTTTACTAAATCTAGCAATGGAGATATTTGCTTCTTTAAGCATACATTTTCAGATAAAGTAGGAAGCTTTGTTGAAAGACAGTTTCTCAGGATGTTTATCAAAATGCCCTGGTATTGTTTTTTTGTTCTAGTTTATTCTAAAACTGTTCTTATTTGTTCTAGTTGTTAAGTATCACTGTGCCCTTAACTGAACTCAGTTTGATTTTCTTAAGCAGGGAAAGCTGTCATCAGAATTCCTATAAAATTCCAACAGCAAATTAAATTGCTAGGCTGCAAACCTAAGCATATTTTTAGAGGAATAAATTCTCAGTCATCGTGAGTCTTCTGAGTAAACAGGCTTAGCATTACTTTTCATAGTAATATGGAAAAATTAATTCATGTCCATGCCCAGCTAATGAGCCCCAGATTTCTCTCAGTCTTCATTCTTCTAAAATACAGAATGAATATTTTAGTCCCAACGTAGAGAGTATTTTAAAGTATGTGTGATGTACGTCCAAGTTGGAACACATACACAGAAAAACAGGGTTCCTGTACTTTTAATCTTTGTGCAGTCAAGAAACACATGTAGGAGCAAGAAAAACTCTATGTTTGTCATGTTAAGCAAGCAGCTAGTTTAAGTTGTTCTGTACAGTTATTTATATAGTGCTTTATGCACAGGTGTTCTCTCTGTGTGAGAAGCTAAAACTTTGTTAAATTGACTTTGTTGCTAACAGGTATAATTGCCAGAAATGTTTATGCAGATTAAGTCATTTAAGCCTTTTTTACTGGTATAAACAATAATAAATATTAATATACATTTTTTTTATGTACACTGACCTTCTGTGTACTTGGGGCATTAACTAGTGAGTACATAATTTCCCCAGCTAGCAATGTTAGGTTTGAACATCTGCCATTGGAAAAACTATTTTTGCAGTTCTCTAGTCATATAGGATTCTGTGTAATTAGCACTCACATACAGAAAGGTTGATGCCTAACTGCATGATTTTGGGGGCAAAAACAGTGGCAAGGCTTCTCTTTTCCTTGGTCACATAAGTATTCATTAATGTAATAATGTGTGAAAAGGAACAGTCTTTTAAAATGAGTCAGTTTTACCAATTATAAGAGGATGTATGCATACAGGTAGTCCTCAGTTAATGACCACAATTGGGACCAAAATTTCTGTTGCTAAGCGATGCAGTCATAAAGCGAGATGTCATGTGACTATTTCACTTAGCGACTGCAATACTGGCACTGCCGGTTGCTGTCATTAAGCGGAAGGAGTCCCAGGTAAGGAGTGCGGGGGTGCCATGGGGGTGGGGGAGGCCATGGGAGATCTGGCACAGTCCACGCACAAGTGGGGGGGGTGCTGCAGTGTGGTGCAAAGCCGCAGCCACCCCTGGAAGTCTCAGCCATCCCACCTCAGCACAGCACAAATTTGCTGTGCCCTGGGAAGTCTCAGCCACCCCAGCAGTGCTTATGACCGCAGGGGTGCTGCAACTCCCCCCACCTGCCTATCTCCCCCCCCCATCTATGCCCTTTTGGTCACCCTGTATAGTGGCACTTGGCAGGGCTGGGGCTGGGGCTGAAGTAGAAGCCTGGGGCCTTCAGTAGTCTCAGCCAGTTGCCACCGTCCCCAGGCCTCTACTTCAATGCCAGCACCACCGCTGCCACTGAGAAATGCCACCTAAAGTCCCACACCATGGCCAGCCACCCCAGCACCATTACGTAAATCCCCAGTTGCCTCCATCACCCGCGCTCCACAGGCTCTGCCACGCCCAGCTGACATTTACCATTTTCCTCCTGCTGCTGCTAAGACGTGCTCACCCTACTATACGTGAGCCAGCTGCTGGCTGTGCCAGGCCTTCTTCCCGAAGCCACGTATGCTCTTCTCCAAGTCGCTTGCCCCATTCCTTCTTCAGATTGCGCACTCCATTCTCACAATCCTTCGAAAATCTTCTGGTGTTCCCCAGGTCTCGCGAGAACGGGCATGCTATTTGGAGAAGGAATGGGGGACATTATTTGGAGAATGAGGTCTTCTGAATCCCTGTAAGAACAGGGCTCTTGGTGTTCTCCAAATAGTGCACCTGTTCTCATGGGATCTGGGGAAGACCAGAAGGTTTCTGAAGGATCACGAGAATGGGGCATGCGATTTGGAGTGCAAATGGCTTGGTATTTTGTCATATTTCTTTGCCAGTTGCCATGCTGTATGGAGTTGGCAGGGCTGCAAGTTTCAAACCCTGGAGGACAATAGGATATTAGCCATGGCATATAGTTTTGTTCAGTTTTATTTGTTCGACCCTTGCTGTCCAAAAGCTATAAACTATTGAGTAGGGACTTTTATTTTTTGTTTCCTAGCATGATTAGGATATTGAGATCTTCACATTGTCCCAGGATAATAGTATAATGCAAAGCAAATGAAAATGATAACATTGAATACAAAAATCTATAGATGAATATTTATGATCTGTGATTAAATTATCTGTTACCTATTACAGCAGCTACAGTCTAGTAGATTTTCTCAGCAGTTTTCTCAGCAGTTTTCAAACTTCAGAATAGGTATGCTTGCTGCTGATATGAATTTACTGCTGTTTAGAATGGCCCTATTGTGAAATGAGAACTATTTATGAAATTGCAGATAATAGGTATTTGGTTGAAAATTTATTATGATTATTCATGATATTTTTGCAGTGTGAAATATTATTTTATTGTTTATTGTTTATTTTAAAAGCACTTTTAATTTATTTTCTTCAAAGGACCTAACCACATGCCTATACAGGGACCTGGACCAAGCCAGCTCAGCATGACAAACAACTCCATGAGCATACCTTCAAATAGTCATGGATCAATGGGAGGCTATAATCATTCAGTGCCATCTTCACAAAGTATACCTGGACAGAGTCAGATGACAATAAGCCAAGGACAACCTATGGCCAGCTATGGTCCCAGGCCAAATATAAACATGCCGCCAAATCAAGGTAAAGGTATAGATTGTTGGCCTACCACTTAAACGTAGAATATCACAAGATACAGTGCTTTAAAATTATTTCTAAAGAAGGTATTTACTTGTGCTGATTTTACTCACTGAATGCTAATAGGTTAGCTGTTATAGTCAGGAGAAAAAAGAAAATAATAATAATATGATTCTTCTTAACCTTTTAAAATGGTTTATGCCATAATTATCGATGAGTTTCAGTTATTAGTGTGCTAAAAGACTAGTTTATCCTTTGCGAGACTTCCTGACTACTCAGGAAGAGTCCACGTCTGTTGTTGACACAAGCTTCACTGGTGGTCTCAGCTTCTGGGGAAGAAATGGCAAACTGTGAAGCCAATGACTGCAGCAGAATGAAGAGCTGGCAAGTAAGCTGGCTGTTTGTAATTCCTCTCCAGACAAGGAGAGGACTTGAGATCACCCACAAGCGCTTCATACAGTTGCTCCTCATGAAGAGACTGAAAGACAGCAGTCTCCGGTGGGTTTACAGCTCTGAGAGACGAAGGGATAGCCATTTTTTTGCCCAAACCATGGTCAGCACCTTCAAAAGGACACTGGGTTTGCATACTTCCTTTTTTAATCACTTTTGGAAATTGCTTATTAACTGCTTTCCAGCTGTTAGGAATCTTTGGATTGATGGGTTTTACAGCAGCAGCTAAGTTTCCTTCAACCGTTAGTGAAAGAACTTTCAAATACAAGTTTAAGGACTTAATTTTTTTTTCTTTTGGAATAAACAGCAAAAGGGTGATTAGAATTTTGATTTTGGAAAGTTATACACAGACTAAGGGTCTAGATGGATTTGAAATAAGATTTTGGAATTACTTACAAGAATCCTTCCCATGGGAAAATCCTTTTGTTTTGAATTCTTTTTAAAAAAAAAAACAAGATAGGATGAGACTTTGAAGGTTGGACACTAGAGGGAACCAGAAGGAACTAAAGATTACAATTAAAGGAGAAG